AAATCTCAAATTGGTTGGATGATCTAGATGCAATGCGGTTAAGATAGGTGATGGGAGGGGAAATTGGTTCGAGACAGTATTGTGCACAAATTTGGCAACTGTGGAGTACAAATTTCAACTTCGACCTAGGTTTCCCTATCCACGATCTCTCCTACGTCTCCTCCTACACTATAGCTATCATGCGTCTTGTTTGCCAGCCCGATGCAGAGCCATTCACGCACCGCTATTGCAGTCTATCCTACGATTTCCGTATCTTAACCCGATTTCGGGTCACGAGTCGACCCGACCCGACAGGTCAAGGGTACCTGTGAAAAAGATACCCTGACGGGTCACGGGTCAACCCGACCCGTACGGGTAGGCCCGACCCGACCCGCCCGGGTCGGGATACTCAGAACACCAGACCCGACCAGGCCAAAAGGCCGGGTCGGGTCGGGTTACCCGACCCGTCCGGGTCAAATGCCCATGCCTACTCCTATGTATCTGCAGCTTCAGTAGTCGCCTCCCATCTTCTCGCCCCCACAGTCTCTCCTCCTCCTCACTTGCCCTCTATGATAGCCACTAGCTTTGCTTATCATTGTGAACTATTGCTCTGCATGCTTGTTGTACTGATTACAACCCACTTTGGTTATGGGGGTGTGTCAGAATGCTGTATTTGTCTAGCCTGCAGTGGGGTACTGTATATCGAGTACAGCCCAATTTAGGGTTTCCTATATGTACTCAACAGCCCTATATTTTTCTTCCATTTGTGATGTGGGTAGGGCATAGAAATGCTCCTCTGAAATGTCTCACATTAATCTCCATTCTCCTGTCCCTCTTTCTGATTGGTCTTAACAGCTTTGGTGTGGTGATGCTGGTGGTCATCTCGGCACGCAAGGCCGTGCATATGAGCGAGACCAGCCAGATCAGTCTGAAGCAATGGGTGAGCACAGATGCTTGCTACAGACTTACTGTCTGAATATTTTATGCAAAAACTGCACTCATAAGTATGTAGCTCACTGAACAATCACGCATATTTCCACATGGCTCAACCCAACAGATCACACCATTCGTGGAGTCAGATGCCGTTACAGTCTTCAAGGACCCGTACTTGGACGCACCAGATGACTTGGTGCTGCGCTGGGCTCGCCTTGCCCTCTCCTGCACCACCATGCCTGCGGCCTCCCGCCCCTCCATGAATCAAGTGCTGGGGGAGCTGGTGAAGTTGAAGCAGGAAGCTTCTGGAGCACATGAGAGCCATGTGGGCGAGGCCAAATCTCGCATGGACACGGAGCTTGGGAGTTCCACTGGCTCCTCCAGCTTCACTGCTGAAATGGCCCGTGCGGAGCGAGGGGGCATGCCAAGTGGCTTTTCCACATAATCAAGTTTGTCTTCACGCGCACCTTGCTAGATTACCCAGAGCTTCTGGTTTGTGCCATACCAAAACATACGGTATATGGGGAAATATGGCCTGTTGAACAGATAAATGGAATGGATGCTGGTAGAATCTTTGGTGATCAGGTAAATGGAACGAGAAAATTGGCCTTCATACATAAAAAGTGGGAGCTACAGCTTTGGCTTATGCATGGGCACATATTTTATGCTTATGGCATATTTTGAATGTTGCATACATAATATTTGCCACTAGAATAGCTCTATTCATAACGAATATGGGATTTTGAAATGGAAATCATAAGCCATTTAGTGGCAGCAACAAGCGTTCTACTCGTAATGAACTACACTACATGATATAGCAACTCTTTCTCCATCCCACATATCTAACATGCAAAGCATCACATCCTCCCTCCAGGCAGTATCCACTTCTTTTCAGTGGGTTGTCATCTGTAACACGTGGGCAAGAAAGGGTTTGATTTGATCCCTTCATGGCGCTATCATTTGCAATGATATGTCAGATGCTGTAGGGCAAGAGCCGTATGGGAGGGATGAATCGGGGTTGGGAAGTGTGATATGACTTGTTAAGACGATGATGAGCAGTGCGCTGAGCAGATACTTCATGAACCCCATGGCTGACTCATCCACCCATGGCTGACTGACCAACCCATGGCAAACTGACTGACCCATGGCTAACTGACTGACCCATGGCTGACTGACTGACCCATGGCTGACTGACTGACCCATGGCTGATTGACTGACCCATCGCTAACTGACTCACCCGGCTGACTGACTGAACCGTGACTGACTGACTGACCCATGGTTGACTCACTGACCCATGGCTGACTGACCGACCTGTGGCTGACTGACTGCCCCTGGCTGATTGACTGACCCATGGCTGATTGACTGACCCAAGGCTAATTGACTGACCCAAGGCTGATTGACTGACCCAAGGCTGATTGACTGACCCATGGCTGATTGACTGACCCATGGCTGATTGACTGACCCATGGCTGATTGACTGACCCATGGCTGATTGACTGACCCATGGCTGATTGACTGACCCAAGGCTGATTGACTGACCCAAGGCTGATTGACCCATGGCTGACCGACCGACCCATGGGATGACTGACCACAACCTGGTGACTGCAACCGCCTTGTTGACAGGATCCTGTCCAAAACAAAACGCCGGACTTATCCACTCTGAGACGAAGCCCGATGCTGGAAGGAGTGGCTGCGCTTAAACCCCACTTGACGAGAAGAGCCATCAAGCTGAACCGCCTGCTCGGCCTTGCATACTGAAAGACGCCTTGAAGGAGGGCTTAAAACACGTCCGTGAGCTGCCCTTGTTGAAGCCATGCCTGTGCTCTCACCCCTTCTTGCCGTGAGCTGCCCTTGTTGAAGCCATGCCTGTGCTCTCACCCCTTCTTGCCGTGAGCTGCCCTTGTTGAAGCCATGCCTGTGCTCTCACCCCTTCTTGCCATGAGCTGCCCTTGTTGAAGCCATGCCTGTGCTCTCACCCCTTCTTGCCGTGAGCTGCCCTTGTTGAAGCCATGCCTGTGCTCTCACCCCTTCTTGCCGTGAGCTGCCCTTGTTGAAGCCATGCCTGTGCTCTCACCCCTTCTTGCCGTGAGCTGCCCTTGTTGAAGCCATGCCTGTGCTCTCACCCCTTCTTGCCGTGAGCTGCCCTTGTTGAAGCCATGCCTGTGCTCTCACCCCTTCTTGCCGTGAGCTGCCCTTGTTGAAGCCATGCCTGTGCTCTCACCCCTTCTTGCCGTGAGCTGCCCTTGTTGAAGCCATGTCTGTGCTCTCACCCCTTCTTGCTGTGAGCTTCCCTTGTTGAAGCCATGCCTGTGCTCTCACCCCTTCTTGCCGTGAGCTGCCCTTGTTGAAGCCATGTCTGTGCTCTCACCCCTTCTTGCCGTGAGCTGCCCTTGTTGAAGCCATGCCTGTGCTCTCACCCCTTCTTGCCGTGAGCTGCCCTTGTTGAAGCCATGCCTGTGCTCTCACCCCTTCTTGCCGTGAGCTGCCCTTGTTGAAGCCATGCCTGTGCTCTCACCCCTTCTTGCCGTGAGCTGCCCTTGTTGAAGCCATGCCTGTGCTCTCACCCCTTCTTGCCGTGAGCTGCCCTTGTTGAAGCCATGCCTGTGCTCTCACCCCTTCTTGCCGTGAGCTGCCCTTGTTGAAGCCATGCCTGTGCTCTCACCCCTTCTTGCCGTGAGCTGCCCGTGTTGAAGCCATGCCTGTGCTCTCACCCCTTCTTGCCGTGAGCTGCCCTTGTTGAAGCCATGCCTGTGCTCTCACCCCTTCTTGCCGTGAGCTGCCCTTGTTGACGCCATGCCTGTGCTCTCACCCCACCTTGCTGAAACCGTACCTACCCACCCATCTCACTGTATGACTCTCCCAACCTGACCACAACCATTCGTCTGTGGCTGACTGCTGCAAGGTGGCTGGCTGGCAGGGCGGGCTGGCTGACCAGAACCTTTTTTTTGCGGCTGGCTGCTGCAAGGGGGCTGTTTCATCAACTTGGCTTGTCAAGTACGTTTTCAGCGCAGCTGGCTTGTGAATTCGACCATCAATGCAGCAGCCTGGCCTTTTGTTTTTTATAAGGATCATGGCGGACATTCGGTCAGTTAGTCAGCCATGGGTCAGTCAATCAGCAATGAGTCAGTCAATCAGCCATAAGTCAGTCAGTCAGTCAGTCAGCCATTGATAAGTCATGGGTCAGTCAGGAGTCAGCCATAGTCAGGTGGCCATGGGTCAGTCAGTCAGACATGCGTCAGTCAATCATATATGGGTCAGTCAGTCAGCCATGAGTCAGTCAGTCAGCCATAGGTCAATCAGTCAGGCATCGATCATTCAATCAGCCATGGGTCAGTCAGTCAGCCATGGGTCAGGCAGTCATGGGTCAATCCGTGAGGCATCGGTCGGTTTGTCATGTGTCAGTCAATCAGCAGCCATGGTTCAGTCAGTCAGCCATGGGTCAAACAGTCAGCCATAGATCAGTCAGTCATAAGTTAGTCAATCAGCCATGGTTCATTCAGTCAACCACTGGTTAGTCAGTCAGCGTCAGCCATGGGTCAGTCAGTCAGCCATGGTTCAGTCAGTCAGCTATGGGTCAGTCAGTCAGCGTCAGCCATAGGTCAGTCAGTCAGCATTCGGTCAGTCAGTCAGCCAGAAAATCAGCCAGTCATGGGTCAGTATGTCAGCCATCGTTCAGTCAATCAGCCATGGGTCAGTCAGTCAGCCATTGGTAAGTCATGGGTCAGTCAGTCAGCCATAGATCCGTCAGTCATGGATCAGTCAGTCAGCCATGGGTCAGTCATTCAGCCACAGGTCAGTCAGTTAGTCATAAGTCAGTCAGTCGACCATGGGTCAGTCAGTCGTCAGCCATCGGTCAGTCAGTCATGGATCAGTCAGTCAGCCATGGGTCAGCCAGTCAGCCATTGGTAAGTCTGTCATGGGTCAGTCAGTCAGCCACGGGTCAATCAGTCAGCCATTGGTAAGTCTGTCATGGGTCAGTCAGTCAGCCATGGGTCAGTCAGTCAGCCATCGGTCTCAGAGTTTGTGGCGGTGTCGCGGAGAGAGGCGCGGGGGCTGCTGCAGGCGCTCACGCAGCAGCTGGTGGCTCGCATGGAGGCTGTCGCTCGTGGGGCTCCACCTGGCGCTCCTCTATCACTGAATGGGGCAGCGGCGCTGCCTGGAGCAACAGCAGTGCCTCGAGCAGTGACCACAGCAGCAGAAGCTGGGGCAGCGGCAGAAGGGGCGGCAGTAGGAGCTGGGGTAGCTACAGCTGGAGCAGGTTCGTTAGAGGACGCGGGACTAGCGGGAAGGGAATCACAGCAGCTGGTAGAGCCTGAGATTGAAGGAGGCTCTGGGAAAGACGAGCAGCTGTGTGGCACACCCTTAAAGGGGAGAACACCCGCGACGCCTGTAGAAGTGTTCTGTCCTCCACTGGAGTCCCTCACCCTCGATAGCATTCAGTTCGCCTCCACTTGCGACCTTACGCTCCCCACCAACAGCAGTACCAGTGTATTCTGTACCCAAAGCGGGTGCAGGTTTGGCATGGTTTGGCACAACACTGATCGGTGGGGCAGCAGGGGTGGACGAGGAAGCAGGGGTGGAAGGGGCAGCAGGGGTGGTAGGGGCAGCAGAGGTGGAAGGGGCAGCAGGGGAGACAGGGCAGTAGCACGGCTCCCCCAGCAGCATCTCTCGCAGACATGCCACCAAATTCACTCCCCCGGGCCACGCTTTCAAATAAGCCGCCTCCTCCCCCTCCTTGCCCGTCCCATCATCTTCTATTCTCCCTTGGTTTCTCCTGTTTCTCCCAGAGCTGTCGCTGCGGCTGCTGCTCCCACTGGCACCATCGGAAGGCCCATAATCATCCTGCATGTCTTCACAGAACCTGGGTATGGCAGCCCTTCTCCACAACTCATGCCCCTTAGCACTCGCAAACACCTCTCCCTCCTTTCCATCCCAACTGGCTCGCCCCTTGCTGCCCTTGCACCTGTCTCTCATACCTCAGCCTCCAGCTTGGTCCTACTCACCTCACAAGGCCAGTTGGGTCCTTGGTCCTACTCACCTCACTAGGCCAGTTGGGTCCATGGTCCAACTCACCCCACTAGGTCGGTTGGGTCCTTGGTCCAACTCACCCCACTAGGCCGGTTTGGTCCTTGGACCAACTAGGGTTGAGCAAAAAAACGAACACCTGTTCGGTTCGCCTCGAACACGTTCGAGGCGAACCGAACAGGTATTTTTTTTTGGCTTAAAATGTTCGCCGAACAGTGTTCGATGTTCGCCCGAACACGTTCGTGTTCGGGCCGCTGCTGCAATTTGCCCGCGACGAACACGAACAGTGTTCGAGGTTCGCCCGAACACGCCTTCACATGCGAACGGCGAACACCATTTTTTGCTCAAAGTGTTCGCCGAACCGAACAGTGTTCAGTTCGGCAAACGAAGGTGTTCGTGCAGGGGCGAACACGAACACGTTCGTGTTCGCCACTTGCTCATCCCTAGGACCAACTCATCCCACTAGGCCGGTTTGGTCCTTGTCCAACTCACCCCACTAGGCCATTTGGGTCCTTGGACCAACTCACCCCACTAGGCCTGTTGGGTCCTTGGTCCAGCTCACCCCACTAGACCAGTTGGGTCCTTGGTCCAACTCACCCCACTAGGCCAGTTGGGTCCTTGGTCCAATAGCCCCACCAGGCCAGATGGCTCGCTGTTCCATATAGATCTGGCCTCTGCTTTATCTTTGTCTTGAATGTATATCCTGCAAGCTCACTTGAGATAATGTAACTTCTACTCCTAAGTCCTTCCCTACCTAACTTGTCTTTCAACAAACCCATGATCTCATAACCTCATGATTACATTACCTTATGATCTCATAACCCCATGATCTCATGACGGGCCATGATCACATAACCATATGATCTTATTACCCCATGATCTCATTATCTAATAGTCACATCACCCCTAGATCGCGTGATGATACAATCACATAATTTCATGATTACATAACCCCATGATTACATATCCCCATGATCTCATCATCCCATGAACATCACCACATGATTACATTATCCCATGATCACATCACCTCAGAATCTCATTGTCCATCACCCTATGATTCCATTATCCCATCTCCCCTTCACCCCATCAACTCATACCCCATCGCCCCATCGTCCCATCACACTCTCGCCATGCCCTTTCACTGGATGTGATCTGCACGACAATGGCTCTGTTCAACAACTTCAGGCAGTTCATTGCTTGTCCTCCCCACCATGGCCCCAAATCTCTCAGCTGCACGAGGCACGAGCTACAAATTAGGAGCAATGAAATCCATACACTTGCATGTTTAAGCCGTTGGCCCAAATTGCACAAGTTTTAAAAGGTTGAGGCGTGGGGGCTCTTCTGGTCTGGGTTTTGGCGAGGGATTTCGATTTCGTTTTTTTTTTTTTTTTTTTTTTTTTTTTTTTTTTTTTTTTTTTCATTTTTTTCGCCAAATCCAGCCTGCCCTCGTATTTCGCCCTGGGGGTTGGGTCAGTCCCCAAAAGTCCCAAATTGCAGGTGTGCTTCTTTTCAAAGCTTGCAAACAGTACTTCGTCAAGTTTTAAAATCCTGACCCGCGTGCTCCGCAATTTGGGCTGCGGGCTTTAAGGTTGCTCTCTCTTCCTCCATACTCCCAAATACACTCTCCACCCTCCCCACGTCTTCCAGCATCGTGGCAGAGCCACCAGGTGTGCTGAGTACAGCAGTCACTCTCCGTTGCCTTTCCTTCCCCTTCCCCATACTCTTTCCCATCCCCACCCCTTTCTCCCTTTCCATCCTCATCCCCATTGCCATCCGCCCCTCCATGGTGTGCATAGTCCGGCCAGCATCCAATCCGCCTTTCCTGCACCCACCTCCCTGCTCTCTCCCTCCCTCTTCCCTTGACCGCCCTTGTCCATCAAGCTGTTCCTGCACCCACCAGGTGTGCATAGTCCAGCCAGTAGCATCTTTCCCCGGCGAAAGACGACTCGGGAAATGTCAAGTCGAGTTGGGCGATGCATTGCCCATTAGGCTGAACCAACTTGACTCGACCCGTGACGACACAGATTAAAAAAAGAAAGCACTGACTCGACCTGACAAAGATTCGAGTCGATTTAAGTCAACACTCAACTTGTCGCTTGCGTCTGACCTAGCAAGTGAGTGCTGATTTGGATATCCCCATTCTGCGAGGCTAGCCTGTAGTAAGTGCCTTAGCCTGGGAGTGTCTTTGCCTGCGAATGTCTTCGACTGGGAGTGTCTCAGCCTGGGAGTGTCTCAGCCTGCGAGTGACCTAGACGCTGTACTTCTGACTGAACAGACTAGTGAGTGTCTTAGTTTGTGACCGACCTAGCTTCTGAGTGAACTAGGTGTGAATGGCGCAGCATGTTTGTGACCTAGCTTGTGACTTGCCTAGTTAGTGAATGACTAATTCTGTTGTTGGGTTACTTCTGAAAGGCCTAGCCACTAACCACCAACGAGCGAGATGGTTTTTGCTATCTCATTGTCTGAAGCCAGTTCAGAGTCTCTAGGTCAGCCATAGAACAAATACATCCACTGGCTCTCGGCAAACTGCCAGGCTCGCCCCAGCCTTGCGACTCGCATGCGAGCCACCTCATCTCAACCTCCCCCAAGTGTAGTCGTCAACTAGCTCGGGGGATTTTGCATGTCTCGCACTCCTTGCCGACCTCCTCCAATGGAGGAGGTATGAGAATTGTAGATCTTGAATGCATTGGATCTGACTTGGAAAGTGTGTCGTAGAAACCCAGCGCGACCTGAGTCGCTCTGGTCCCAAGCTGACCAGCTCTCTGAGAACAAGGTGGGTCCAAGCCCCGTTGCAAGTCGATTTCAGGGATCGTCTATCTCGGCTCAACGAGCTGCTCATTCATTCCTACTATGGCATTCACTCACTACCCTAGGTGTGTGCTCGCTCCGGCTTCTCTCGCCTTCCTGACTGTGGTAAGGCGAAGAGTTGGCAGGTCACAATATATTTCTCTACTAGTTTCCTGCCCAACAGTTGCCTTTCCAATAACTGTCACTCTTACTACCGTTCTACCTATGACATTGTTGCTGCCCTAATCGTTCAGCTCACACCTGCGCCACACCACTAGCGTACCAACCCTCTGTGTGCCAGCCGACTGTGCTCCACATACATTAACCTGCAGTCTTCCCTGCTCTCTGCTGGTCTCCACCCTTCGCTCTCTGCATTCGTTTCCCCATTGTTGCAACTATTTCCCATGTCCCAGCTTGGCAGTACCCACCCACATTTCTTGCCCCTCCCTGATATCTTGTCTCCTCTGCTCCTCCCCCTGGCCTCCCCTTATTCCACTGAAGTCTAATCTCGTGTCAACTGCATGTGTGTGCACAAGCTTCGTCTCTCACTGAGTGGTCCATCGTTTTGTGCCTCGTCCCACACGAGTGTTTTCCCATTGTGTGTGCATTCACAACCAACTTCCTCTTTGCACCCGACCTTACCCCTCACCCCACCCAGGTGTTGTCTACTTTCGACAGTCTGCAGTGAAGGAGGTGGTTGATTGCCAGGATCGGTGATTGAAGCAGGGCTGTTGAAGGAGAGTCCACTGGATGCCTATGGCTGCCGAGAGGGCGATGGGGCCACTGATTGAAGTGGTCAAAGAGGCGGCACTGGCAGCAGTGAGGGAGGAGCTGACTGGGCACAACGAGGAGTTGGATGAGTTGCGGCATATGTTGAAAGCAGTGAAGGGGGAGTTGGCAGCGGTTAAGGGGGAGTTGAAAGCGGTTAAGGGGCAGTTGGCGGAACTCATGGACTCAAGAGTAGAGCAACCGGCTGAGTTCAGCAGGGCATCGGATGAAATAGAGCTAAGAGGGAAGAGTAGAAAGAGAAGGAAAGAAGAGACAGCGGAGGAGAGGAGGAGGGAGGTGCAGGAGGTGAATCGGCCACATGCCACGGAGGAATCGGCAGCCTGTAATGAAGGGCAGAGGATACACGATTTGAAGTTGAATGTTGAGCTGGAAATTAGGCAGAGTGAAGGTGATCGGAAGAAAGCATTGGAGGTGAGTGCTGAGTGCGTTGTTGCACAGGCATGCCTTGTTCCACTTGGCATTCACTGCTTGCTAGTTCTGTCTTATCGCCATATATTCACCCCTTGTTCTGTCAAATTTTCCCTCTCAACCCATTTCTTCCAGGCAATAAAGACAGCATCAAAATATTTCAGTATAGACCTGAGGCATTGCCACCGCCTCTCAGACGACATCCTCGGGCATGTGTCCACAATGGCACATCTGAGGGGAGTTGTATTGCAGCATAGCTCAGGTTTCAGTGCAGAGGGCATCAAGCACCTCTACAGGCTGCCACAGCTGGAGATGCTAGACCTCTTTTGCACAAAATATATAACAGACAATGCCTTGGAAGGCATTTGGTGCTTGACCAGTCTCAAGTACCTGTATCTCAATAATGCCAAGCTGACCAATGCTGGCCTGGTACACTTGACAGCTCTGTCCTCTCTGAATGCGCTGGTCCTTATCAAGTGCACAAGTGTGACAGATGCTGGCATGGTGCATGTGGGGAAGCTGACAGGGCTTGAGGATCTTTCTCTAGATGGCACAGCAGTCACGGATGCTGTGCTGCGGCACCTGTCTGCCCTGACCCAACCTGACAAATCTCTCGCTGCCAGGAGGGGATTT